ATGAACTCAATTTCACATGCTTATTTTTCCCAAAAGTATTCTATTAAACATTTTGGACTATACTCCTCTTTTTCACTGATTGTATTTGGTTTTATACAAAATATAAACATGAAAATATGGAAGCAAAAAGAAAAAGAGATCAATAAAAAAAGCTAAAAATCTAGAAATATATCTGATTATAAACAGAAATTTGGTAATAGATTTCAGTGGAGAATGGAACTTATTCAATCAATGATATGGAAATATGTGAGGTCAAACATTAAGGTATCTTCTAATTGTAGAGTTAAATGTAAAAAAGAAAGAGGAGAGAAGGGGAGGAGAGGAAAAGCAAATCATAAAAGAACCAGAGAAAAATATAGGAATGTGTCAGATTCAAGGTATAGAAAGGACTTCCTAGGCAAAATACTGACGACAGAAAAGATGAGAGCTAGCTAGGCAGCAGTTAGAGGATGAAAGAAGTCTCCATAAAGAGTAAGAAAAATCTGTATTTCAAAAAATGCCATCAACAAAATGAAAGGTTAATGGAAATATGGGAAATATATTTTCAGTGTACATGGTAGATTATGATATTCCTAATATATAAAGAACATACATGAATTTATCATAAGATAAAGACCATAGTTTCAAAAGAAAAAAATATTATAAATCTAGTAAGCAAAAAAAAGCTGATTGTCTGCTACATAAAACATGCAGGAAAACAGATCCTTGGGCAAAATCATAAAGGAAGCTGTGTAAGAGTACTTAAGAAAGATATACATAAAACCCAACTCATGATGCAATAGAGATCTAAATTTATGACAATGCCCCAAATTTACATAAAAACCTCAAAAATTAATGGAATCTAATTCATTGGAAGATAGTCAATAAGTCCTCTTTACTCCTTTACTTTTAGAGCTAAGATTTGATTTTTCTAGTATGAAAGGGCTGACATGAAAATTAATAATTTTATCCATACCTTAACATTTTATAGCTTTGTGAGTTTTGTGCTGAACAGAAATAGGGTGATTGTCCATCAGGAAAATAAAATGGCATCAGTCAAACTAAACAAAATGAAACAATTTCTCTTTGTTTCTGGCTAACTCAACAGTCATTTGTCAAATTATTTATTTTAAAAATATTATTCAAAGATATACAGTATTTCTACAGATTTGATTTTAAAAAAAAAAAAACTATGGTTATATTAACATCCATTTAAAAACCATCTGACTTTGCTTTCAGCTAGTTCTTTCAAAACCTTTCTTTGCTTAGTCCCAAGTATGATTTACATATTAACTATGCAAGCAAGGTCCATCTGGTACATATTTATTCTCATAAAGCTAAACTGTAAATTTTTAAAATATATATGTTTAAAAGGAACAGACAAAAGGAAATAAAAACAAACCCATGAAATCTGATTGCAGAATTGAGGTAACCAGATGGGGATGGGAGGGTATAGGAAACAAAGGATGTAGGGGGCCGGTTCTATGGACTGTGGTGGAGGATCATGGGTACTTTGGTGGTGGGGGTAGTGTGGTAACACACATCTGAAGAGGTGTGAACCGATACCCCTAAATCATATACAGTGTTGTAAACCAATACCGCCTCAATAAAAAATGATAATTAAAAGAATGTTTAAAATGAAGATTTTCTACTATAAGCAAATATACAAAAACCAGTAAGATTAATAAAATATTAAAGCATGGCAGGAGTTTGTGCTCCAAGAACAAAGGTAAATTATAAGTTAACGCATATCTCTCTTCCAAATGTCAGATTTTCATTTGCTCCATTAGATGTTTTCAGTCCAAACAGTGTTTCTCTAAAGTTAATACTATCCTAGCAATAAAATATCTTTCCACAGAACAATGGATCAAAACATTAGGATCATTCCTTAGGAAATTCCTATTACCAGTTTTTCATGTTATTTTTCTTAAAAGTTCAACTCCAAGCCAAACCAATCCTCCTTATGAAAGTAAAGTCAAATTACAGTTTATGACGATGTAGGTTATCCTTTGGCCATGCCTGCTTTTTATAGTTAGCATAAGAAGTGCAAATTCACTGAGAGAAGGAAAAAATCTAAGATAATGTGTTATATATAAACAATAGACTCAAACAATGTTTTTCAAATAGGCTGAATTCCCCACCCCCCACCAAGTAATCATATAGTAAGATTTTCATATTTCATTTAGCCTCAACGTCTCGTTTATTATCCACCAGGCATCTTGCTCTTGCAGGGGTGAGTTAGTGGGGGGAGGGAGTGGGCAACACAAGTAACAGTCGTACTAAACTGTTTTATTATATTGGACCACTTTGCAAAATACACTTCTGAATTCTACCCCCAAATTTTAATTGTTAAAATTAACAGGAGGATCCTATGTTATACAAAAAGAGGGGGGAGGGGATGGACAAGTAAATAAACCAGATTCACACCTATTTAAGTAAAAAGACACAATTTACATCCTATACATGTATCGCTGGCCAGATTTCTTAGTACGAAGACTTTCACTAGCCTAATAAAGGTAGCACAGTGTCTAACGATATGAAGGTTAGCCAATGACCACACTGTGACAAATTGATTAAATTAAAACAGAAAAAGGTAAGAAAAGAGACAATCCACAAAATGAGAAAATATTTGCAAACCATTTAGCTAATAAGAGACTTACATAACCAAATGTGCAAATTCCTACAACTTAGAAGTAAAAAGACAACCTAATTGGAAAGTGGGCAATGGATTTTAATAGCCCTTTCTCAAAAGAAGATAGATGAATATCCAATGGAACTCATGAAGAAAGTTCATGAGCAAAATCACAATGAAATACTATTTTGGATACTTAATAAGATAGGTGTAATTTTTTTTTAGTGGAAAATAAAAAGTACTGATAAGCATGAGGAGAAAAGAGAAGTTTTTACATTGCTAGTGAGATTGTAAAATGATGGAGCTGCTTTGGAAAACAGTTGGACAACTCCTCAAAAAGTTAAACATAGTTACATGTTGCCCATGCAAACTGAAAATGTACTTCCATGCAAAACTTGTACCCAATGCTATTAGCAGCATTATTCATAATAGCCAAAAAAATGGAAACAATTTTGGGCCTCCCCGGTGGCAGAGCAGTTGAGCGCTGGGTTGCGAAGCTGCCTGCAGCCTCTGCAGCACTGGTTCGATCCCTGGCCACTGGGCGAGGGTCCCACATGGCGAGAGTCCCACATGGCGAGGGTCCCACATGGCGAGGGTCCCACATGGCGAGGGTCCCACATGGCGTGCAGACCTCTCCGACCTCTCCTGCCACCCACTGCTCCTCTCAGCAGTGTACTTCGTCAGTCTGCCTGCTCTGCTCTCCACTCTGACTCTGGTCAGAATTCTCTCGCCCTCCCGCACTTCTGACTGTACCCATATTAAAAAAAAAAAAAAGGAAACAATTTAAATGTCCATCAACTAATGAAAGGAAAGACAAAACAAAACATGGTACATTCCTTCAATGAAATATTACTCGGAAATAAAAAAGAAAGAATGGCTGACACATGCTACAACAGCAAAATCTAAGCCAAGAAGGCAGCCACAAAAGGCCGCATATTAGAATTCCTTTTAAATGATGCAGAAAATGCAAATCCATAGAAACAGAAAGCAGACAGGGTGGTTGACAAAGATGGGAAAGGGGAAGAGTGATTGTTAATGTGCATGGCGTTTTCTTCTGGGATAATAAAAATGTTTTGAAATTAGACAGTGGTGATGATTGCACAACTCTGCATATACCAAAAATCGCTGACTATATACTTTAAAAGAGTGAATTTTATGGTATAGGAATTAAATCTCAAGAAAGCTCCTAATAAAAAGAAAAACGAATACACTATAAAGCATAATAATGAATCAGGATATGAATATCTCATTGTATATTTCATTAATAATACCATGACTGTGTTAGGAAAATCATGAATCAAAGGTTCCCTTTGGGGATCTTAAGGTTGTCACTAACACTGAGAGAGCATATTTGTAAAACAATTTAATTTTAGGAAGTTACAGAGTAAAGCACAGTTACCTCAGAAAGCATTTCCCAAAATACACGCAATTCTTTTTTTTTTTTTTGTGGGACCCTTGCCGGCGGCCAGGGAACGAATTGGCCGGGGAATGAACCACTGCGTCACCAGGGGAGGCCCATACACGCAATTCTTAAGAGGGACTAAAGTGAAACCAAAATGAGCCACAAATTTCATCTCTCTATACAGTCTGTCTGTCTGTTCCTCCTTGTTCATGGTTCTACTTTTGGCTATCAGATTTGAATCATGAACCCAAAAGCATGGAGCCTGAAACCCCTCTTATGTAATAATAGTTCAGACTAAATACTGAATGTCAAAATTACAGAACATTAGAATAATAGAATTACAGAGAGGGGCCTCATATAACCATTTCCTTCTCCTGTTAATCCATTCCAGTTAGGCTCATGTGTTCCAGAAATGCAAGATGTCTGACAATTGGAGGTTTTGAGAGAAAAGATCAAATACTTCTTTTAGACATGTTCATTCCTTTCTTTTAAAAAAGAAAACTTTGTTTTAAATAACCACACCAACTGAAATGAAGAGAAATGCCAAGTTGGTCCAGACAAATAAATAATAGAAAAACATTAGGTCTAGTGTCATTATATGCCTAGCCAACATCATTTTAACTTCAAACAGCAACCAAATACATTGATACTAATAGAACATAAAAACCCTTTCAAAAATAATTTTACCACATAAAACTTCAGCAGAAGAGCAGATACAAACCCTAACCTAGCCATGCAGTTTCAACAGCACAATCCTACAACTTGTCCTCTCAGCCCCGAGATAAAGCAACTGGATGGATGGCCTTCATTCAGATGGATCTCCTTTACTGTATCACCTGGAGGTAATACATGTCATTATTTCGATCTTTCTGAGAGTAATAAAGGCCTGAATTCTAGCAAACCGAGTCATCGGTTTACAAGTGCTGACGGCGCAGAATTCTTTGCTGTATGAGGATGAGGGACCTGCTGTCACCTCGTGTGCCATACCTGGTATGCACTGTGCCGTGGCCTCGGTGGTTATGGTTGGAGCGACGGGGGGCTGCTGCTGACTGGAGCTCACTTCTGGCTCTGTGTTAACTGAGGGAGAAAGGGCTACCTCACAGGAGGAGACCTGGCTGGGCAAATGGGGCAGGAACTCTTCGGAGGCAACTTGCTCATCCTGTCCAGGCAGCTGCAGGGCAGACAAAGGGATGCTGATCTGTTTGTTGGGATGGGATGTGCTCACAGGCATCTGCATGGCCATCTGCTGGCTGGTACCATGGGCACCAGGAGGTCCTCTGTTTGGTGAAGCCAGAGATACCCTGGCAGTCTTTTGAACAATTGGTCTGGACATTACAGAGGGGGATGCAGACACACCATGTGGGTCAAGCTCTGTGCCAATGGCAGATGTTACGTGGGGAATCAGCTTGGCAGACCCCACACAAGAAGGACCAGCATGAGTCTGAGGCTTGGGTTTGGCCATCTGCGTCAATGACAGGGCTGGTCCATCCACCCCACCTGTCAGCTCTGCATTTGCCACAATATAATAATCTTCAGGGATCTCCTGTTTGATTTTCTTAATAATGACATCATTGCTGCATTCATCTACCATCTGAGTCTGGGAGCTTGAGTGGAGAGAAGATGGGACTAAACCAGGCCTTTTTCGAGTGATGCTTTGAGGTCTTTGGGTTTGGGGTTCAAAGTCACTATCTTCATCTGTAACTGAAGACTCACAGACCATGTCAAACAGGGTGTTTTCATCTTCATATTCTTCAACAGCTTCATCCAGTTCAGAGGGCTCGCTGCAGTAAGAGAAGTCACAAGAGTCTCTGGTCCGATTGCAGTCTAATTTGGTCTTCACTGGGCGCCCCGGGTACCTTTCAACAGGGCTGGTTTGTGTCTCAGAGGGTACTCCAATTATACTGGGACTATCAGAATTAAAACTTCTGTTATCCTGGAAACACACCCTTTCTTGGGACCCAGCTCTGCAAGTAGCTGTCAGTGGCCAGTGGTAAGCATGGCCGGCACTACAGCCCCACATTGCCGTCAGGTTCCCATGGGAACCTTCGGAAAGCAAATGTTTCAGGTTTGGGATGAGGCTGCAAATAGTCCCATGGCTGTGGGCCCAGCTGACCAACTTGGACAGATTCTCAGATGAGGTATGAAGGCAATCCTCCATGTTATAGGATCAGCAGTGTCTTTCCTAAAGGGAAATAATCAAAATAAGAATCCATTATTACCCAAAATATTCCCATCGCTCAATTACTTCAATTTCCTTGAACTATGTTCACATGGCATAAAAAAGAAAAGCCCCTCAAAGCCATGTCTAGTTAATATCACTGGATATGGGAAGGGACAGGAAGAGAATACAGGAAAGTGAAAAGAGAGATTTGAGAAAAATTTTGTTAGGTTACTTTTCTAGTAATGTTTGCATAAAAAAAAGAGGGAAAGAAAAAAATAGTTAGGCAACAAAAAAGAGATGAGTCTTTTCATGGTGCAGTTAACTTCCAGCATCAACAAGAGAGGGATTTAGTCAGTCCCTTAATAATAGAAAGTGTGGATTATATACATCAACCAAGAGGACGCACTTCCAACTTCACCCTCAGCCACTAGAAACTTCAGTGATAGAGGCAGAGCCAACAAAGGCTGGATCCATTCTAGGACGGATGTCAACTCTTTGCAGGCACCAGAAAGTAGCAAGCTGGGTATCCTAGGAGAGAATAAGGGACTACTTTTGGGACAGGGGAGAAGGGATGTGTAGAAAAGTCTTTAGCACAGAAGGGAGAACAGGAAGAAGAGACCTCTAGACAGTTCCTATCAGAAGTCAAAAGCAGAGGCAGGCTGAGGACCAGAAGTAAGGCTGAGTTGGCCAGTTCCAGAACCTAGCCAATCTCAAAAGCAGGCTTCCCACCTCCTTGCTGTTTGTAAGCCCTGAAATACTGCCTTTCATTTCGTAGAGATTAGATGTATCTGGTCTATTCTACCATCTGAGGTCCCTGTACAAATACAACCAATTACCAAACAGAGGTAAACCATTCTTTAATGGGCAAGAAGAATAAATCGTGACGGGTCCCTGAGTGGGTAAGGGTGAGCACAACCCTGATAGGCAAGTAAATGAAATGGGCGTGCGTGGTGCACACAGGCATTAAAAAAAAAAAAGGTCAAATAAAGCTTTGCCAAAAAGAGCTTCTGCAAAGACCTGGAGAAACTGGGATTGTTGTGTGTGATTGAGTCTGCTCCCATTATGAATACTGGTGGGTGGCACCTGGCAGAGATGGGCCCTGCGCTAAAGTGCCAAGATCTCACTGCAGCACCAGCTGGCCATGCAGAAGGACACACCTGAGTCTCCATCCCTTGGCTGCCTCTATGGAGCCCCCTCTGCAGAGGTAGATAGATTCAAATGCTTTTACATGTCATGTGGCCATGACCACAGCCAACCTCCCAAACCTCGTTTCCTATACTCACATACATTCCTTGTGGTCTCCTCTTCTCTGAACAGTGTCTCATCCCTGAGACTCTGGGCCACTGAGAGCTCATTCTTTGGTTAAATATGGAAAACCCTACAAGACTGAACTTAGGACCAACTCCTGCTGAAGTCTTTCAGAGTCTCTGGAAGACTTTCTTGGCTACAGAGATTTATTTATATTCTCTTCACCTATATCTCCATCATCTCTTGAGGATCTTTGTCTTTGTTGTACTGAGGATTCCCTGGGACAGAGATTATAATTTTTCATTCATAAATGAGGATCCATTTGGGGATGCATAAATTAATAAGAAATGGTCCTGCTCTTGAGACTTTATAAGCTATTGTTTTTGCTAAATACACACACACACACACAAAAGTGTCAACACTAACAAAGTGAACATGTGAGACCATCAAATAAGAAACATTAAGTTTCTTCCTATCACTTCATTGTAATAATTCAAGGAATTAGAGGACTTCCAAAACACAGCTGTCTTGTTAGGACATTAATATAAGGGCAACCAGATTTTTTTTGTTTTGGCCAACCAGACTTTATAAACTAGCACAGTACAGTGACTAGTGTGGGGAACAGGAACTCTAAATCCTTCTGAAGAAGCCAAAAATGACAGGACTATGTGATCTTAATTGTTTCCTTCATACTATAGCAAATGAGGGGCTTATTTTTTATAGTCCTTCAGTTAACTGTAAAGATGATATGCAGATGAAAGAGAAAGACTGGATCTTTGTAAACTGATGTTTGTTTTTTAAATGTTTCAACATATCTATTTAATTGGTATGGCTGACTGCTTTTCGCCCACCCAATATCCAATCTGAGTCCCACTTAGGGGTAAGGGGCAGCTTTATGTTCATCAAAAATATATTTCTCAGGCCTCCCCTGGTGGCGCAGCAGTTGAGCTCTGGGCTGCGAAGCTGCCCGCAGCCTCTGCAGCACCGGTTCGATCCCCGGCCACTGGCGAGGGTCCCACATGGTGCACAGACCTCTCCTGCTGCCCGCTGCTCTCCTCAGCAGTGTATTTCGTCATTCTGCCTGCTCTGTCTGCTCTCCGCTCTGGCTCTGGTGAATTCTCTCACCCTCCCATGCTTCTGACTGTATGTATCCAGTGCTTGTATAAATAATTAAATAAATCTTAAAAAAAAACCAACCCACATATATCTCAGCTCTCCTTAAAATAGAGGTGGTCAGGGGCCTCCCTGGTGGCTTAAAGGTTAAGTCTCAGCACTGTCACTGCTACAGCCTGGCCTGAGTTCCATACCCACTCAGGGAGCTAACACATAGGGCACAGCTGACCTCTCCTGTCTTACTTGCTGTTCCCCTCAGCAGTGTATTTCAGTAGATCCACCTTTTCTGCTCCTCACTCTGTGTCTGGTGAAACCTCCTACCCTCTGCACCTCTGGCCCACACCCCAGTACTTCTACATAAAAATAAGTAAATAAATCTTAAAAAAAGAAAGAAAGAAAGAAATAGAGCTGGTGAAAAGATACAGTTCTCTGGTCAATAGTATCTAAATATGAGTCACTGGGTGGGATTTCTACAAAGCCCTCTGAAATACAGACTTGTCTGGTTTTTGCCTTTTTAAAAACATTTCAACAGATATTTATCTACGACATCCCTGTCCTAAAAAGACTTTTATCTAACTTACAGAAATTTAGTACATTAAAAGATAAAGTAAAATATGAAATGTTCTGATAGAAATGTTTAATTAATATGAAATAGAAAAGTTCCCCTCCAACCTAAATACAGAAATACTGGATGGTATGTAACATTTAAAAATTATATAGTCACACCCAAATAGAAGAAAGGGAAAAGTCCAGGTATAAAAGAAGCCTGCCTTGATAGTTGTTTAAAATATCTGAGAAAACATGATAGGTTAAAACTGAAGTATACAAAAGGAATTTAAATTGGTAAGTCCTGCTACTATGCGTTTAAGGAAGATTTAATCTCCTAGACTTACAAAGTAGCTGTGCCCTCTGTCCTTCCTCTTCTTCCTGCCTGGAATAAGGACAGGATGGCTGAAGTTCTAGAGGCCATCCTGGGAGTATGAACTAATAACTCAAGGATGGGAGAAAACAGCCCAAAAGAGTCTGGATTCCTGGTGATACCCTGGAGCTAACATACAAACTCTGAATGGCCTAGAATTCCTCCTACATAAGGGGAAAATAACCCCCTGATCTTATTGGGAGTATCTGATTACATAACAGCTGAACTCAATTACTAATGGGTAAAACAAAATACATTCATTTCTGAATTTTGAAATCTTAGAGAAGAATTCTTCATTTTCCATTCACCACACTCCAGTACAAATGTTTCTCAGATAGGATTCCACAAATAGGTTCTTTGGAGATCTATAATTCTATGTCATGATATTTATAACTGTTTTCATTGTAATCTACTATCAAGCATCTAAATCACCTTATGAAACTATTGTCATATAATATCAGGGCCCTTTTCATTTGTATCTATACTTGCATATAATCAAAGCGACATGACTCAACTTTCCAATTTGTTGGGAAACCCGGTCACACTATTCTTTTTAGCAGAAATAAATACAAAACTTCTTTTGTATTAATTTCAAATGAAAGGCATCATGAGTTGACATCACAAAAATGGCATCTGTGATAATGAAGCACTATTCCATCTTAAAGGACATAGGTTAGTAACAATTGTAATAAATTGTATATTTTCATAGAAAGAAAATAATAAAAATTATGGCACAATATTTGAATGAAGATGTAATAGCTCATATATATTTGATAGAATCAAAACAAAATTATGAAGCCAATGAACTTATAAAATCTTATTGTCATGACAGAACTGACTTATTGGACACACAAAACAATCAAAAGATAAAGTGGACACAAATTTTAATTTGGTTAAAAAGCTTATCCACTTTGGGCCTCCCCTAAGTGGCGCAGCAGTTGAGCGCTGGGTTGTGAGGCTGCCCGCAGCCTCTGCAAAACCGGTTCAGTCCCTGGCCACCAGCGAGGGTCCCACAAAAAAAAAAAAAAAAAGCTTAACCACTTAATTCCATAATAATCACCAATCTTTAAAGAATCACTAGGGAGTACTAACAAGTCACTTTTATTATATTCTGAAAGTTACCGGCAATCACATAAAGAGGCTCTTATACTGTTCTTATCAGAAAATGAAAATATTTTACCAGTGTTACTATTAATATATTTCAACCAGGCAACCAATGTTAACTGGTAGCTAGGAGAGCAGATTGATCATACTTCAGTGGAACAAAATTGTCCAGAAACAGACACACACATATTTGGTCAACTGATTTTCAACAAAAGTACAAAATTCAACAGGTAAGGAAATTCTTTTCAACAGATGGTGCTGGATCACTTGGATATGCATTTTTTAAAAAGCCAAACTTTAATTATACCACACACACAAAAAGAACTCCAAATGGATCATACACCTAAATCTTAAAAGGTCTGAAACTAGAAAACTTCCAGTAGAAATCACTGGAGAATATTTTTGTGAACTTGGGGTAGGCAAAGGCTTCTTAGGATGCAAAATGCATGATTCACCAGAAAAGGTGGTAAATTGCCATACATCAATTGCTAATGGAATACTAACGTAGATGAAGAAGTTGAATGCACTCAACATGAAGTTCCTCTAGGTAACTTTCAGTGCTGTCAAATGAAACTTGGATATGGTCCAAAAAATGGTGGTGCTGTTTGAATGAACAGACCAATGACTGCCAAAGCTA